TATTCAAGCCACTGCAAGGAAACCCGGCCTGCTTTCAATTTAGGGCTTCTCACTGTATATTCCCCTTGAGGCAGCAAACTCGGTGTCCCTCCCACATACCTATTGCTGAGAGAATCCTCCTCTTGAGGTGCTTCTGGAAAGTTAGCATAGGTCTTGAGCCTAAGCCAGGGAATCAGCTCTCATCTCGAGACGATTTGGGGTACACGGAGCATTCCTCGAGTCGCTGTGCTGAAGTTGGTGTTCCTCTAGACTTGGGACAGTGTTCTCGGGTCATCTCTGGAGTTGCCTGAAGGAAGTCGAACCACCGGTCTTGTTGAATGGGGAACGGGGAATGGCTCTGGAGTCAATGCAGGGGAATGGGGCCTCATCTCGAGTTGGTTTGGGGCACATGGAGCTGCTTTGCGTTGCGGGGTGACCTCAGGGTCCGTCTAGACTGGTGATCTTGCGGACTGTCTCGAGATCCATTAAGCATGTCGAAGCTCCTGACTTGTTTGAATGGGATCACGGAATAGCTCTGCATGCACTGCAGGGGAATGGGGCCTCATCTCGCCTCTAGGGGGAAGTCTCATGGTTTTTCTCGAGTTGCGGCGGGGACCTGGGGTATGTTCTCGACTTACCGCGGGGATGGCCCTTCAAAACACGAGTTTCTTCAGTGACGTCAGGACTCCTGTCTAGTAAAGAGGGACACCTCAGGAATCTCTTCGAGGCTTGCCAGGGCAAAAGGGACGCTTCTCGAGGTGAGGCAGGGCACCCAAGGACCCCTTCCAGTAGCCACAGGGATTTTGGGATTCCTATCAGTATTCAAGAGGAGTCAGGCATCGTCACCTTTTGAAACAATGAACTCCGGGTGCCTCTCGAGGTGTCAATGGGATGTGAGGCATTCCGTCAAAATGAGGCAGGGACCTAGGGCATTCTCTAAAGTCTCCACAGGGGATTCAGACATCCCTTCATGTTTTGAGATCAAAGACGAGCCTGTATTCAAGCCACTGCCATTAAATCCGGCCTCCTTTCAAGTTAGGGCTTCTCGCTGTATATTCCACTTGAGGAAGCGATCTCAGGGTCCCTCTCACATAACTATTGCTGAGAGAAGCCTCCTCCTGAGGTGCTTCTGGAAAGTTGGCATACGTCTTGAGCCTAAGCCAGGGAATCAGCTCTCATCTCGAGATGTTTTGGGGTACACGGAGCATTCCTCGAGTTGCTGTGCTGAAGTTGGTGTTCCTCTAGACTTGGGACAGTGTTCTCGGGGCATCTCTGGAGTTGCCTGAAGGAAGTCGAGCCACCGGTCGTGTTGAATGGGGAACGGGGAATGGCTCTGGAGTCAAGGCAGGGGAATCGGGCCTTATCTCGAGTTGATTTGGGGCACATGGAGCTGCTTTGCGTTGCTGGGGTGACCTCAGGGTCCGTCTAGACTGGTGACAGTGTTCTTGGGGACTGTCTCGAGATCCATTAAGCAAGTCGAAGCTCCTGACTTGTTTGAATGGGATCACGGAATAGCTCTGCATGCACTGCAGGGGAATGGGGCCTCATCTAGCCTCTAGGGGGAAGTCTCATGGTTTTTCTCGAGTTGCGGCGGGGACCTGGGTTATGTTCTCGACTTACGGCGGGGATGGCCCTTCAAAACACGAGTTTCTTCAGTGACGTCAGGACTCCTGTCTAGTAACGAGGGACAACTCAGGAATCTCTTCGTGGCTTGGCAGGGCAAAAGGGACGCTTCTCGAGGTGAGGCAGGGCACCCAAGGACCCTTTCCAGTAGCCACAGGGATTTTGGGATTCCTATCAGTATTCAAGAGGAGGCAGGCATCGTCACCTTTTGAAGCAATGAACTCCGCGTGCCTCTCGAGGTGTCAGCGGGATGTGAGGCATTCCGTCAAAATGAGGCAGGGACCTAGGGCTTTCTCTAAGGTCTCCACAGCGGATTCAGACATCCCTTCATGTTGTGAGATGAAAGACGAGCCTGTATTCAAGCCACTGCAAGGAAATCCGGCCTCCTTTCAAGTTAGGGCTTCTCGCTGTATATTCCCCTTGAGGCAGCAAATTCGGGGTCCCTCCCACATACCTATTGCTGAGAGAAGCCTCCTCCTGAGGTTCTTCTGGAAGTTGGCATACGTCTTGAGCCTAAGCCAAGGAATCAGCTCTCATCTCGAGACGATTTTGGTTGCACAGAGCATTCCTCGAGTTGCTGTGCTGAAGTTGGTGTTCCTCTAGACTTGGGACAGTGTTCTTGGGGCATCTCTGGAGTTGCCTGAAGGAAGTCGAGCCACCGGTCGTGTTGAATGGGGAACGGGGAATGGCTCTGGAGTCAATGCAGGGGAATCGGGCCTCATCTCGAGTTGATTTGGGGCACATGGTGCTGTTTGCGCTGATGGGGTGACCTCAGGGTCCGTCTAGACTGGTGACAGTGTTCTTTGGGACTGTCTTGAGATCCATTAAGCAAGTCGAAGCTCCTGACTTGTTTGAATGGGATCAGGGAATAGCTCTGCATACACTGCAGGGGAATAGGGCCTCACCTCGCCTCTAGGTTGAAGTGTCATGGTTTTTCTCGAGTTGCGGCGGGGACCTGGGGTATGTTCTCGACTTAGGGCGGGGATGGCCCTTCAAAACATGAGTTTCTTCAGTGACGTCAGGACTCCTGCATAGTAACGAGGGACACCTCAGGAATCTCTTCGAGGCTTGGCAGGGCAAAAGGGACACTTCTCGATGTTAGACAGGGCACCAAAGGACCATTTCCAGTAGCCACAGGGATTTTGGGATTTCTATCAGTATTCAAGAGGAGTCAGGCATCTTTACCTTTTGAAGCAATGAACTCCGCGTGCCTCTCGAGGTGTCAACGGGATGTGAGGCATTCTGTCAAAATGAGGCAGGGACCCAGAATTTTCTCTGAGGTCTCCACAGGGGATTCTGACATCCCTTCATGTTGTGAGATGAAAGACGAGCCTGTATTCAAGCCACTGCAAGGAAACCCGGCCTGCTTTCAATTTAGGGCTTCTCGCTGTATATTCCCCTTGAGGCAGCAAACTCGGGGTCCCTCCCACATACCTATTGCTGAGAAAATCCTCCTCTTGAGGTGCTTCTGGAAACTTGGCAGACGTCTTGAGACTAAGCCAGGGAATCAGCTCTCATCTCGAGACGATTTGGGGTACACGGAGCATTCCTCGAGTTGCTGTGCTGAAGTTGGTGTTACTCTAGACTTGGGACAGTGTTCTCGGGGCATCTCTGGAGTTGCCTGAAGGAAGTCCAGCCACCGGTCGTGTTGAATGGGGAACGGGGAATGGCTCTGGAGTCAATGCAGGGGAATCGGGCCTCATCTCGAGTTCATTTGGGGCACATGGAGCTGCTTTGCGTTGCTGGGGGGACCTCAGGGTCCGTCTAGACTGGTGACAGTGTTCTTGGGGACTGTCTCGAGATCCATTAAGCAAGTCGAAGCTCCTGACTTGTTTGAATGGGATCACGGAATAGCTCTGCATGCACTGCATGGGAATGGGGCCTCACCTCGAATCTAGGGGGAAGTCTCATGGTTTTTCTCGAGTTCCGGCAGGGACCTGGGGTATGTTCTCGACTTACGGCGGGGATGGCCCTTCAAAACACGAGTTTCTTCAGTGACGTCAGGACTCCTGTGTAGTAACGAGGGACACCTCAGGAATCTCTTCGAGGCTTGGCAGGGCAAAAGGGACACTTCTCGAGGTTAGACAGGGCACCGAAGGACCATTTCCAGTAGCCACAGGGATTTTGGCATTCCTATCAGTATTCAAGAGGAGTCAGGCATCGTCACCTTTTGAAGCAATGAACTCCGCGTGCCTCTCGAGGTGTCAACGGGATGTGAGGCATTCTGTCAAAATGAGGCAGGGACCTAGGGCTTTCTCTAAGGTCTCCACAGGGGATTCAGACATCCCTTCATGTTTTGAAATCAAAGACAAGCCTGTATTCAAGCCACTGACATTAAATACGGCCTCCTTTCAAGTTAGGGCTTCTCGCTGTATATTCCACTTGAGGCAGCGATCTCGGGGTCCCTACCACATAGCTATTGCTGAGAGAAGCCTCCTCCTGAGGTGCTTCTGGAAAGTTGGCATAGTTCTTGAGCCTAAGCCAGGGAATCAGCTCTCATCTCGAGACGATTTGGGGTACTAGGAGCATTCCTCGAGTTGCTGTGCTGCAGTTGGTGTTCCTCTAGACTTGGGACAGTGTTTTCAGGGCATCTCTGGAGTTACCTGAAGGAAGTCGAGCCACCGGTCGTGTTGAATGGGGAAAGGGGAAAGGCTCTGGAGTCAAGGCAGGGGAATCGGGCCTCATCTCGAGTTGATCTGGGGCACATGGAGCTGCTTTGCGTTGCTGGCGTGACCTCAGGGTCCGTTTAGACTGGTGACAGTGTTCTTGGGGACTGTCTCGAGATCCATTAAGCAAGTCGAAGCTCCTGACTTGTTTGAATGGGAACTCGGAATAGCTCTGCATGCACTGCAGGGGAATGGGGCCTCATCTCGCCTCTAGGGGGAAGTCTCATGGTTTTTCTCGAGTAGCGGCGGGGACCTGCGGTATGTTCTCGACTTACGGCGGGGATGGCCCTTCAAAACTCGTGTTTATTCAGTGACGTCAGGACTCCTGTCTAGTAACGAGGGACACCTCAGGAATCTCTTCTATGCTTGGCAGGGCAAAAGGGACGCTTCTCGAGGTGAGGCAGGGCACCCAAGGACCCTTTCCAGTAGCCACAGGGATTTTGGGATTCCTATCAGTATTCAAGAGGAGGCAGGCATCGTCACCTTTTGAAGCAATGAACTCCGCGTGCCTCTCGAGGTGTCAGCGGGATGTGAGGCATTCCGTCTAAATGAGGCAGGGACCTAGGGCTTTCTCTAAGGTCTCCACAGCGGATTCAGACATCCCTTCATGTTGTGAGATGAAAGACGAGCCTGAATTCAAGCCACTGCAAGGAAACCCGGCCTGCTTTCAATTTAGGGCTTCTCGCGGTATATTCCCCTTGAGGCAGCATACTCGGGGTCCCTCCCACATACCTATTGCTGAGAGAAGCCTCCTCCTGAGGTGCTTTTGGAAAGTTGGCATACGTCTTGAGCCTAAGCCAGGGAATCAGCTCTCATCTCGAGACGATTTGAGGTACACGGAGCATTCCTCGAGTGGCTGTGCTGAAGTTGGTGTTTCTCTAGACTTGGGACAGTGTTTTCGGGGAATCTCTGGAATGGCCTGAAGGAAGTCGAGCCACCGGTCATGTTTAATGGGGAACGGGGAATGGCTCTGGAGTTAATGCAGGGGAATCGGGCCTCATCTCGAGTTGATTAGGGGCACATGGTGCTGCTTTGCGTTGCTGGGGTGACCTCAGGGTCCGTCTAGACTGGTGACAGTGTTCTTGGGGACTGTCTCGAGATCCATTAAGCAAGTCGAAGCTCCTGACTTGTTTGAATGGGATCACGGAATAGCTCTGCATGCACTGCATGGGAATGGGGCCTCATCTCGCCTCTAGGGGGAAGTCTCATGGTTTTTCTCGAGTTGCGGTGGGGACCTGCGGTATATTCTCGACTTACGGCGGGGATGGCCCTTCAAAACTCGTGTTTATTCAGTGATGTCAGGACTCCTGTCTAGTAACGAGGGACACCTCAGGAATCTCTTCGAGGCTTGGCAGGGCAAAAGGGACGCTTCTCGAGGTGAGGCAGGGCACCCAAGGACCCTTTCCAGTAGCCACAGGGATTTTGGGATTCCTATCAGTATTCAAGAAGAGTCAGGCACCGTCACCTTTTGAAGCAATGAACTCCGCGTGCCTTCTCGAGGTGTCAGCGGGATGTGAGGCATTCCGTCAAAATGAGGCAGGGACCTAGGGCATTCTCTAAGGTCTCCACAGGGGATTCAGACATCCCTTCATGTTGTGAGATGAAAGACGAGCCTGTATTCAAGCCACTGCAAGGAAATCCGGCCTCCTTTCAAGTTAGGGCTTCTCGCTGTATATTCCCCTTGAGGCAGCAAACTCGGGGTCCCTCCCACATACCAATTGCTGAGAGAATCCACCTCTTGAGGTGCTTCTGGAAAGTTGGCATAAGTCTTGAGCCTAAGCAAGGGAATCAGCTCTCATCTCGAGACGTTTTGGGATACACGGAGCATTCCTCGAGTTGCTGTGCTGAAGGTGGTGTTCCTCTAGACTTGCGACAGTGTTCTCGGGGCATCTCTGGAGTTGCCTGAAAGAAATCGAGCCACCGGTCATGTTGAATGGGGAACGGGGAATGGCTCTGGAGTCAATGCAGGGGAATCGGGCCTCATCTCGAATTGATTTGGGGCACATGGAGCTGCTTTGCATTGCTGGAGTGACCTCAGGGTCCGTCTAGACTGGTGAGCTTGCGGACTGTCTCGAGATCCATTAAGCAAGTCGAAGCTCCTGACTTGTTTGAATGGGATCACGGAATAGCTCTGCATGCACTGCAGGGGAATGGGGCCTCATCTCGCCTCTAGGGGGAAGTCTCATGGTTTTTCTCGAGTTTTGGCGGGGACCTGGGTTATGTTCTCGACTTACGGCGGGGATGGCCCTTCAAAACACGAGTTTCTTCAGTGACGTCAGGACTCCTGTCTAGTAACGAGGGACAACTCAGGAATCTCTTCGAGGCTTGGCAGGGCAAAAGGGACGCTTCTCGAGGTGAGGCAGGGCACCCAAGGACCCTTTCCAGTAGCCAGAGGGATTTTCGGATTCCTATCAGTATTCAAGAGGAGTCAGGCACCGTCACCTTTTGAAGCAATGAACTCCGCGTGCCTCTCGACGTGTCAGCGGGATGTGAGGCATTCCGTAAAAATGAGGCAGGGACCTAGGGCATTCTCTAAGGTCTCCAGAGGGGATTCAGACATCCCTTCATGTTGTGAGATGAAAGACGAGCCTGTATTCAAGCCACTGCAAGGAAATCCGGCCTCCTTTCAAGTTAGGGCTTCTCGCTGTATATTCCCCTTGAGGCAGCAAAGTCGGGGTCCCTCCCACATACCTATTGCTGAGAGAAGCCACCTCTTGAGGTGCCTCTGGAAAGTTGGCATACGTCTTGAGCCTAAGCCAGGGAATCAGCTCTCATCTCGAGACGATTTGGGGTACACAGAGCATTCCTCGAGTTATTGTGCTGAAGTTGGTGTTCCTCTAGACTTGGGACAGTGTTCTCAGGACATATCTGGAGTTGCCTGAAGAAAGTCGAGCCACCGGTCATGTTGAATGGGGAACGGGGAATGGCTCTGGAGTCAATGCAGGCGAATCGGGCCTCATCTCGAGTTGATTTGGGGCACATGGAGCTGCTTTGCGTTGCTGGAGTGACCTCAGGGTCCGTCTAGACTTGTGACAGTGTTCTAGGGGACTGTCTCGAGAACCATTAAGCAAGTCGAAGCTCCTGACTTGTTTGAATGGCATCACGGAATAGCTCTGCATGCACTGCAGGGGAATGGGGCCTCATCTCGCCTCTAGGCGGAAGTCTCATGGTTTTTCTTGAGTTGCGGCGGGGACCTGGGGTATGTTCTCGACTTACGGCGGGGATGGCCCTTCAAAACACGAGTTTCTTCAGTGACGTCAGGACTCCTGTCTAGTAACGAGGGACACCCCAGGAATCTCTTCCAGCCTTAGCAGGGCAAAAGGGACGCTTCTCGAGGTGAGGCAGGGCACCCAAGGACCCTTTCCAGTAGCCACAGGGATTTTGGGATTCCTATCAGTATTCAAGAGGATTCATTCATCGTCACCTTTTGAAGCAATGAACTCTGCGTGCCTGTCCAGGTGTCAACGGGATGTGAGGCATTCCGTCATAATGAAGCAGGGACCTAGGGCTTTCTCTAAGATCTCCACAGGGGATTCAGACATCCCTTCATGTTGTGAGATGAAAGACGAGCCTGTATTCAAGCCACTGCAAGGAAATCCGGCCTCCTTTCAAGTTAGGGCTTCTCGCTCTATATTCCCCTTGAGGCAGCAAACTCGGGGTCCCTCCCACATACCTATTGCTGAGAGAAGCCTCCTGTTGAGGTGCTTCTGGAAATTGGCATAGGTCTTGAGCCTAAGGCAGGGAATCAGCTCTCATCTCGAGACGATTTGGGGTACACGAAGCATTCCTCGGTTTGCTGTGCTGAAGTTGGTGTTCCTCTAGACTTGGGACAGTGTTCTCGGGGCATCTCTTGAGTTGCCTGAAGGAAGTCGAGCCACCGGTCGTGTTGAATGGGGAACGGGGAATGGCTCTGGAGTCAATGCAGGGGAATGGGGCCTCATCTCGAGTTGGTTTGGGGCACATGGAGCTGCTTTGCTTTGCGGGGTGACCTCAGGGTCCGTCTAGACTGGTGACAGTGTTCTTGGGGACTGTCTCGAGATCCATTAAGCATGTCGAAGCTCCTGACTTGTTTGAATGGGATCACGGAATAACTCTGCATGCACTGCAGGGGAATGGGGCCTCATATCGCCTCTAGGGGGATGTCTCATGGTTTTTCCCGAGTTTTGGCGGGGACCTGGGGTATGTTCTCGACTTACCGCGGGGATGGCCCTTCAAAACACGAGTTTCTTCAGTGACGTCAGGACTCCTGTCTAGTAACGAGGGACACCTCAGGAATCTCTTCGAGCCTTTGCAAGGCAAAAGGGACGCTTCTCGAGGTGAAGGAGGGCACCCAAGGACACTTTCCAGTAGCCACAGGGATTTTGGGATTCCTATCAGTATTCAAGAGGAGTCAGGCATCGTCACCTTTTGAAGCAGTGAACTCCGCGTGCCTCTCGAGGTGTCAACGGGATGTGAGGCACTCCGTCAAAATGAGGCAGGGACCTTGGGCTTTCTCTAAGGTCTCCACAGGGGATTCAGACCTCCCTTCATGTTGTTAGATGAAAGACGAGCCTGTATTCAAGCCACTGCAAGGAAACCCGGCCTGCTTTCAATTTAGGGCTTCTCACTGTATATTCCCCTTGAGGCAGCAAACTCGGTGTCCCTCCCACATACCTATTGCTGAGAGAAGCCACCTCTTGAGGTGCTTCTGGAAAGTTGGCATACGTCTTGAGCCTAAGCCAGGGAATCAGCTCTCATCTCGAGACGATTTGGGGTACACGGAGCATTCCTCGAGCCGCTGTGCTGAAGTTGGTGTTCCTCTAGACTTGGGACAGTCTTCTCGGGGTATCTCTGGAGTTGCCTGAAGGAAGTCGAGCCACCTGTCGTGTTAAATGGGGAACGTGGAATGGCTCTGGAGTCAATGCAGGGGAATCGGGCCTCATCTCGAGTTGATTTGGGGCACATGGAGCTGCTTTGCGTTGCTGGGGTGACCTCAGGGTCCGTCTAGACTTGTGACAGTGTTCTTGGGGACTGTCTCGAGATCCATTAAGCAAGTCGAAGCTCCTGACTTGTTTGAATGGGATCACGGAATAGCTCTGCATGCACTGCATGGGAATGGGACCTCACCTCGCCTCTAGGGGGAAGTCTCATGGTTTTTCTCGAGTTGCGGTGGGGACCTGCGGTATGTTCTCGATTTACGGCGGGGATGGCCCTTCAAAACTCGTGTTTATTCAGTGACGTCAGGACTCCTGTCTAGTAACGAGGGACACCTCAGGAATCTCTTCGAGTCTTGGCAGGGCAAAAGGGACGCTTCTCGAGGTGAGGCAGGGCACCCAAGGACCCTTTCCAGTAGCCACAGGGATTTTGGGATTCCTATCAGTATTCAAGAAGAGTCAGGCACCGTCACCTTTTGAAGCAATGAACTCCGTGTGCCTCTCAAGGTGTCAGCGGAATGTGAGGCATTCCGTCAAAATGAGGCAGGGACCTAAGGCTTTCTCTATGGTCTCCACAGGGGATTCAGACCTCCCTTCATGTTGTGAGATGAAAGACGAGCCTGTATTCAAGACACTGCAAGGAAATCCGGCCTCCTTTCAAGTTAGGGCTTCTCGCTGTATATTCCCCTTGAGGCAGCAAAGTCGGGGTCCCTCCACATACCTATTGCTGAGAGAAGCCACCTCTTGAGGTGCTTCTGGAAAGTTGGCATACGTCTTGAGCCTAAGCCAGGGAATCAGCTCTCATCTCGAGACGATTTGGGGTACACGGAGCATTCCTCGAGTCGCTGTGCTGAAGTTGTTGTTCCTCTAGACTTGGGACAGTGTTCTCGGGGCATCTCTGGAGTTGCCTGAAGGAAGTCGAGCCACCGGTCATGTTGAATGGGGAACGGGGAATGGCTCTGGAGTCAATGCAGGGGAATGGGGCCTCATCTCGAGTTGGTTTGGGGCACATGGAGCTGCTTTGCGTTGCGGGGTGACCTCAGGGTCCGTCTAGTCTGGTGATCTTGCGGACTGTCTCGAGATCCATTAAGCATGTCGAAGCTCCTGACTTGTTTGAATGGGATCACGGAATAGCTCTGCATGCACTGCAGGGGAATGGGGCCTCATCTCGCCTCTAGGGGGAAGTCTCATGGTTTTTCTCGAGTTGCGGCGGGGACCTGGGGTATGTTCTCGACTTACCGCGGGGATGGCCCTTCAAAACACGAGTTTCTTCAGTGACGTCAGGACTCCTGTCTAGTAACGAGGGACACCTCAGGAATCTCTTCGAGGCTTGGCAGGGCAAAAGGGACGCTTCTCGAGGTGAGGCAGGGCACCCAAGTACCCCTTCCAGTAGCCACAGGGATTTTTGGATTCCTATCAGTATTCAAGAGGAGTCAGGCATCGTCACCTTTTGAAACAATGAACTCCGGGTGCCTCTCGAGGTGTCAATGGGATGTGAGGCATTCCGTCAAAATGAGGCAGGGACCTAGGGCATTCTCTAATGTCTCCACAGGGGATTCAGACATCCCTTCATGTTTTGAGATCAAAGACGAGCCTGTATTCAAGCCACTGCCATTAAATCCGGCCTCCTTTCAAGTTAGGGCTTCTCGCTGTATATTCCACTCGAGGAAGCGATCTCGGGGTCCCTCTCACATAACTATTGCTGAGAGAAGCCTCCTCCTGAGGTGCTTCTGGAAAGTTGGCATACGTCTTGAGCCTAAACCAGGGAATCAGCTCTCATCTCGAGATGTTTTGGGGTACACAGAGCATTCCTCGAGTTGCTGTGCTGAAGTTGGTGTTCCTCTAGACTTGGGACAGTGTTCTTGGGGCATCTCTGGAGTTGCCTGAAGGAAGTCGAGCCACCGGTCGTGTTGAATGGGGAACGGGGAATGGCTCTGGAGTCAATGCAGGGGAATCGGGCCTCATCTCGAGTTGGTTTGGGGCACATGGAGCTGCTTTGCGTTGCGGGGTGACCTCAGGGTCCGTCTAGACTGGTGACCTTGCGGACTGTCTCGAGATCCATTAAGCATGTCGAAGCTCCTGACTTGTTTGAATGGGATCACGGAATAGCTCTGCATGCACTGCAGGGGAATGGGGCCTCATCTCGCCTCTAGGGGGAAGTCTCATGGTTTTTCTCCAGTTGCGGCGGGGACCTGGGGTATGTTCTCGACTTACCACGGGGATGGCCCTTCAAAACACGAGTTTCTTCAGTGACGTCAGGACTCCTGTCTAGCAACGAGGGACACCTCAGGAATCTCTTCGAGGCTTGGCAGGGCAAAAGGGACGCTTCTCGAGGTGAGGCAGGGCACCCAAGGACCCCTTCCAGTAGCAACAGGGATTTTGGGATTCCTATCAGTATTCAAGAGGCGTCAGGCATCGTCACCTTTTGAAACAATGAACTCCGGGTGCCTCTCGAGGTGTCAATGGGATGTGAGGCATTCCGTCAAAATGAGGCAGGGACCTAGGGCATTCTCTAATGTCTCCACAGGGGATTCAGACATCCCTTCATGTTTTGAGATCAAAGACGAGCCTGTATTCAAGCCACTGCCATTAAATCCGGCCTCCTTTCAAGTTAGGGCTTCTCGCTGTATATTCCACTTGAGGAAGCGATCTCGGGGTCCCTCTCACATAACTATTGCTGAGAGAAGCCTCCTCCTGAGGTGCTTCTGGAAAGTTGGCATACGTCTTGAGCCTAAGCCAGGGAATCAGCTCTCATCTCGAGATGTTTTGGGGTACACGGAGCATTCCTCGAGTTGCTGTGCTGAAGTTGGTGTTCCTCTAGACTTGGGACAGTGTTCTCGGGGCATCTCTGGAGTTGCCTGAAGGAAGTCGAGCCACCGGTCATGTTGAATGGGGAACGGGGAATGGCTCTGGAGTCAATGCAGGCGAATCGGGCCTCATCTCGAGTTGATTTGGGGCACATGGAACTGCTTTGCGTTGCTGGAGTGACCTCAGGTTCCGTCTAGACTTGTGACAGTGTTCTAGGGGACTGTCTCGAGAACCATTAAGCAAGTCGAAGCTCCTGACTTGTTTGAATGGGATCACGGAATAGCTCTGCATGCACTGCAGGGGAATGGGGCCTCATCTCGCCTCTAGGCGGAAGTCTCATGGTTTTTCTTGAGTTGCGGCGGGGACCTGGGGTATGTTCTCGACTTACGGCGGGGATGGCCCTTCAAAACACGAGTTTCTTCAGTGACGTCAGGACTCCTGTCTAGTAACGAGGGATACCCCAGGAATCTCTTCCAGCCTTAGCAGGGCAAAAGGGACGCTTCTCGAGGTGAGGCACGGCACCCAAGGACCCTTTCCAGTAGCCACAGGGATTTTGGGATTCCTATCAGTATTCAAGAGGAGTCAGGCATTGTCACCTTTTGAAGCATTGAGCTCCGCGTGCCTCTCGAGGTGTCAACGGGATGTGAGGCACTCCGCCAAAATGAGGCAGGGACCTAGGGCTTTCTCTAAGGTCTCCACAGGGGATTCAGACATCCCTTCATGTTGTTAGATGAAAGACGAGCCTGTATTCAAGCCACTGCAAGGAAACCCGGCCTGCTTTCAATTTAGGGCTTCTCACTGTATATTCCCCTTGAGGCAGCAAACTCGGGGTCCCTCCCACATACCTATTGCTGAGAGAAGCCTCCTGTTGAGGTGCTTCTGGAAATTGGCATAGGTCTTGAGCCTAAGGCAGGGAATCAGCTCTCATCTCGAGACGATTTGGGGTACACGGAGCATTCCTCGAGTCGCTGTGCTGAAGTTGGTGTTCCTCTAGACTTGGGACAGTGTTCTCGGGGCATCTCTGGAGTTGCCTGAAGGAAGTCGAGCCACCGGTCGTGTTGAATGGGGAACGGGGAATGGCTCTGGAGTCAATGCAGGGGAATCGGGCCTCATCTCGAGTTGATTTGGGGCACATGGAGCTGCTTTGCGTTGCTGGGGTGACCTCAGGGTCCGTCTAGACTGGTGACAGTGTTCTTGGGGACTGTCTCGATATCCATTAAGCAAGTCGAAGCTCCTGACTTGTTTGAATGGGATCACGGAATAGCTCTGCATGCACTGCAGGGGAATGGGGCCTCATCTAGCCTCTAGGGGGAAGTCTCATGGTTTTTCTCGAGTTGCGGCGGGGACCTGGGTTATGTTCTCGACTTACGGCGGGGATGGCCCTTCAAAACACGAGTTTCTTCAGTGACGTCAGGACTCCTGTCTAGTAACGAGGGACAACTCAGGAATCTCTTCGTGGCTTGGCAGGGCAAAAGGGACGCTTCTCGAGGTGAGGCAGGGAACCCAAGGACCCTTTCCTGTAGCCACAGGGATTTTGGGATTGCTATCAGTATTCAAGAGGAGGCAGGCATCGTCACCTTTTGAAGCAATGAACTCCGCGTGCCTCTCGAGGTGTCAGCGGGATGTGAGGCATTCCGTCAAAATGAGGCAGGGACCTAGGGCTTTCTCTAAGGTCTCCACAGCGGATTCAGACATCCCTTCATGTTGTGAGATGAAAGACGAGCCTGTATTCAAGCCACTGCAAGGAAATCCGGCCTCCTTTCAAGTTAGGGCTTCTCGTTGTATATTCCCCTTGAGGCAGCAAATTCGGGGTCCCTCCCACATACCTATTGCTGAGAGAAGCCTCCTCCTGAGGTTCTTCTGGAAGTTGGCATACGTCTTGAGCCTAAGCCAAGGAATCAGCTCTCATCTCGAGACGATTTGGGTTGCACAGAGCATTCCTCGAGTTGCTGTGCTGAAGTTGGTGTTCCTCTAGACTTGGGACAGTGTTCTTGGGGCATCTCTGGAGTTGCCTGAAGGAAGTCGAGCCACCGGTCGTGTTGAATGGGGAACGGGGAATGGCTCTGGAGTCAATGCAGGGGAATCGGGCCTCATCTCGAGTTGATTTGGGGCACATGGAGCTGCTTTGCGCTGATGGGGTGACCTCAGGGTCCGTCTAGACTGGTGACAGTGTTCTTGGGGACTCTCTTGAGATCCATTAAGCAAGTCGAAGCTCCTGACTTGTTTGAATGGGATCAGGGAATAGCTCTGCATACACTGCAGGGGAATGGGGCCTCACCTCGCCTCTAGGTTGAAGTGTCATGGTTTTTCTCGAGTTGCGGCGGGGACCTGGGGTATGTTCTCGACTTAGAGCGGGGATGGCCCTTCAAAACACGAGTTTCTTCAGTGACGTCAGGACTCCTGCATAGTAACGAGGGACACCTCAGGAATCTCTTCGAGGCTTGGCAGGGCAAAAGGGACACTTCTCGAGGTTAGACAGGGCACCGAAGGACCATTTCCAGTAGCCAGAGGGATTTTGGAATTCCTATCAGTATTCAAGAGGAGTCAGGCATCTTTACCTTTTGAAGCAATGAACTCCGCGTGCCTCTCGAGGTGTCAACGGGATGTGAGGCATTCTGTCAAAATGAGGCAGGGACCCAGAATTTTCTCTGAGGTCTCCACAGGGGATTCTGACATCCCTTCATGTTGTTAGATGAAAGACGAGCCTGTATTCAAGCCACTGCAAGGAAACCCGGCCTGCTTTCAATTTAGGGCTTCTCGCTGTATATTCCCCTTGAGGCAGCAAACTCGGGGTCCCTCCCACATACCTATTGCTGAGAGAATCCTCCTCTTGAGGTGCTTCTGGAAACTTTGCAGACGTCTTGAGCCTAAGCCAGGGAATCAGCTCTCATCTCGAGACGATTTGGGGTACTAGGAGCATTCCTCGAGTTGCTGTGCTGCAGTTGGTGTTCCTCTAGACTTGGGACAGTGTTTTCAGGGCATCTCTGGAGTTACCTGAACGAAGTCGAGCCACCGGTCGTGTTGAATGGGGAAAGGGGAAAGGCTCTGGAGTCAAGGCAGGGGAATCGGGCCTCATCTCGAGTTGATCTGGGGCACATGGAGCTGCTTTGCGTTGCTGGCGTGACCTCAGGGTCCGTTTAGACTGGTGACAGTGTTCTTGGGGACTGTCTCGAGATCCATTAAGCAAGTCGAAGCTCCTGACTTGTTTGAATGGGAACTCGGAATAGCTCTGCATGCACTGCAGGGGAATGGGGCCTCATCTCGCCTCTAGGGGGAAGTCTCATGGTTTTTCTCGAGTTGCGGCGGGGACCTGCGGTATGTTCTCGACTTACGGCTGGGATGGCCCTTCAAAACTCGTGTTTATTCAGTGACGTCAGGACTCCTGTCTAGTAACGAGGGACACCTCAGGAATCTCTTCTAGGCTTGGCAGGGCAAAAGGGACGCTTCTCGAGGTGAGGCAGGGCACCCAAGGACCCTTTCCAGTAGCCACAGGGATTTTGGGATTCCTATCAGTATTCAAGAGGAGGCAGGCATCGTCACCTTTTGAAGCAATGAACTCCGCGTGCCTCTCGAGGTGTCAGCGGGATGTGAGGCATTCCGTCTAAATGAGGCAGGGACCTAGGGCTTTCTCTAAGGTCTCCACAGCGGATTCAGACATCCCTTCATGTTGTGAGATGAAAGACGAGCCTGAATTCAAGCCACTGCAAGGAAACCCGGCCTGCTTTCAATTTAGGGCTTCTCGCGGTATATTCCCCTTGAGGCAGCAAACTCGGGGTCCCTCCCACATACCTATTGCTGAGAGAAGCCTCCTCCTGAGGTGCTTCTGGAAAGTTGGCATACGTCTTGAGCCTAAGCCAGGGAATCAGCTCTCATCTCGAGACGATTTGAGGTACACGGAGCATTCCTCGAGTGGCTGTGCTGAAGTTGGTGTTCCTCTAGACTTGGGACAGTGTTCTCGGGGCATCTCTGGAGTGGCCTGAAGGAAGTCGAGCCACCGGTCGTGTTTAATGGGGAACGGGGAATGGCTCTGGAGTTAATGCAGGGGAATCGGGCCTCATCTCGAGTTGATTTGGGGCACATGGTGCTGCTTTGCGTTGCTGGGGTGACCTCAGGGTCCGTCTAGACTGGTGACAGTGTTCTTGGGGACTGTCTCGAGATCCATTAAGCAAGTCGAAGCTCCTGACTTGTTTGAATGGGATCACGGAATAGCTCTGCATGCACTGCATGGGAATGGGGCCTCATCTCGCCTCTAGGGGGAAGTCTCATGGTTTTTCTCGAGTTGCGGTGGGGACCTGCGGTATGTTCTCGACTTACGGCGGGGATGGCCCTTCAAAACTCGTGTTTATTCAGTGATGTCAGGACTCCTGTCTAGTAACGAGGGACACCTCAGGAATCTCTTCGAGGCTTGGCAGGGCAAAAGGGACGCTTCTCGAGGTGAGGCAGGGCACCCAAGGACCCTTTCCAGTAGCCACAGGGATTTTGGGATTCCTATCAGTATTCAAGAAGAGTCAGGCACCGTCACCTTTTGAAGCAATGAACCCCGCGTGCCTTCTCGAGGTGTCAGCGGGATGTGAGGCATTCCGTCAAAATGAGGCAGGGACCTAGGGCATTCTCTAAGGTCTCCACAGGGGATTCAGACATCACTTCATGTTGTGAGATGAAAGACGAGCCTGTATTCAAGCCACTGCAAGGAAATCCGGCCTCCTTTCAAGTTAGGGCTTCTCGCTGTATATTCCCCTTGAGGCAGCAAACTCGGGGTCCCTCCCACATACCTATTGCTGAGAGAATCCACCTCTTGAGGTGCTTCTGGAAAGTTGGCATAAGTCTTGAGCCTAAGCCAGGGAATCAGCTCTCATCTCGAGACGTTTTGGGATACACGGAGCATTCCTCGAGTTGCTGTGCTGAAGGTGGTGTTCCTCTAGACTTGCGACAGTGTTCTCGGGGCATCTCTGGAGTTGCCTGAAAGAAATCGAGCCACCGGTCATGTTGAATGGGGAACGGGGAATGGCTCTGGTGTCAATGCAGGCGAATCGGGCCTCATCTCGAATTGATTTGGGGCACATGGAGCTGCTTTGCGTTGCTGGAGTGACCTCAGGGTCCGTCTAGACTGGTGACCTTGCGGGCTGTCTCGAGATCCATTAAGCAAGTCGAAGCTCCTGACTTGTTTGAATGGGATCACGGAATAGCTCTGCAAGCACTGCAGGGGAATGGGGCCTCATCTCGCCTCTAGGGGGAAGTCTCATGGTTTTTCTCGAGTTTTGGCGGGGACCTGGGTTATGTTCTCGACTTACGGCGGGGATGGCCCTTCAAAACACGAGTTTCTTCAGTGACTTCAGGACTCCTGTCTAGTAACGAGGGACACCCCAGGAATCTCTTCCAGCCTTAGCAGGGCAAAAGGGACGCTTCTCGAGGTGAGGCAGGGCACCCAAGGACCCTTTCCAGTAGCCACAGGGATTTTGGGATTCCTATCAGTATTCAAGAGGATTCATTCATCGTCACCTTTTGAAGCAATGAACTCTGCGTGCCTGTCCAGGTGTCAACGGGATGTGAGGCATTCCGTCATAATGAAGCAGGGACCTAGGGCTTTCTCTAAGGTCTCCACAGGGGATTCAGACACCCCTTCATGTTGTGAGATGAAAGACGAGCCTGTATTCAAGCCACTGCAAGGAAATCCGGCCTCCTTTCAAGTTAGGGCTTCTCGCTCTATATTCCCCTTGAGGCAGCAAACTCGGGGTCCCTCCCACATACCTATTGCTGAGAGAAGCCTCCTGTTGAGGTGCTTCTGGAAATTGGCATAGGTCTTGAGCCTAAGGCTGGGAATCAGCTCTCATCTCGAGACGATTTGGGGTACACGAAGCATTCCTCGGTTTGCTGTGCTGAAGTTGGTGTTCCTCTAGACTTGGGACAGTGTTCTCGGGGCATCTCTTGAGTTGCCTGAAGGAAGTCGAGCCACCGGTCGTGTTGAATGGGGAACGGAGAATGGCTCTGGAGTCAATGCAGGGGAATGGGGCCTCATCTCGAGTTGGTTTGGGGCACATGGAGCTGCTTTGCGTTGCGGGGTGACCTCAGGGTCCGTCTAGACTGGTGAGCTTGCGGACTGTCTCGAGATCCATTAAGCAAGTCGAAGCTCCTGACTTGTTTGAATGGGATCACGGAATAGCTCTGCATGCACTGCAGGGGAATGGGGCCTCATCTCGCCTCTAGGGGGAAGTCTCATGGTTTTTCTCGAGTTTTGGCGGGGACCTGGGTTATGTTCTCGACTTACGGCGGGGATGGCCCTTCAAAACACGAGTTTCTTCAGTGACGTCAGGACTCCTGTCTAGTAACGAGGGACAACTCAGGAATCTCTTCGAGGCTTGGCAGGGCAAAAGGGACGCTTCTCGAGGTGAGGCAGGGCACCCAAGGACCCTTTCCAGTAGCCAGAGGGATTTTCGGATTCCTATCAGTATTCAAGAGGAGTCAGGCACCGTCACCTTTTGAAGCAATGAACTCCGCGTGCCTCTCGACGTGTCAGCGGGATGTGAGGCATTCCGTAAAAATGAGGCAGGGACCTAGGGCATTCTCTAAGGTCTCCAGAGGGGATTCAGACATCCCTTCATGTTGTGAGATGAAAGACGAGCCTGTATTCAAGCCACTGCAAGGAAATCCGGCCTCCTTTCAAGTTAGGGCTTCTCGCTGTATATTCCCCTTGAGGCAGCAAAGTCGGGGTCCCTCCCACATACCTATTGCTGAGAGAAGCCACCTCTTGAGGTGCCTCTGGAAAGTTGGCATACGTCTTGAGCCTAAGCCAGGGAATCAGCTCTCATCTCGAGACGATTTGGGGTACACAGAGCATTCCTCGAGTTATTGTGCTGAAGTTGGTGTTCCTCTAGACTTGGGACAGTGTTCTCAGGACATATCTGGAGTTGCCTGAAGAAAGTCGAGCCACCGGTCATGTTGAATGGGGAACGGGGAATGGCTCTGGAGTCAATGCAGGCGAATCGGGCCTCATCTCGAGTTGATTTGGGGCACATGGAGCTGCTTTGCGTTGCTGGAGTGACCTCAGGGTCCGTCTAGACTTGTGACAGTGTTCTAGGGGACTGTCTCGAGAACCATTAAGCAAGTCGAAGCTCCTGACTTGTTTGAATGGCATCACGGAATAGCTCTGCATGCACTGCAGGGGAATGGGGCCTCATCTCGCCTCTAGGCGGAAGTCTCATGGTTTTTCTTGAGTTGCGGCGGGGACCTGGGGTATGTTCTCGACTTACGGCGGGGATGGCCCTTCAAAACACGAGTTTCTTCAGTGACGTCAGGACTCCTGTCTAGTAACGAGGGACACCCCAGGAATCTCTTCCAGCCTTAGCAGGGCAAAAGGGACGCTTCTCGAGGTGAGGCAGGGCACCCAAGGACCCTTTCCAGTAGCCACAGGGATTTTGGGATTCCTATCAGTATTCAAGAGGATTCATTCATCGTCACCTTTTGAAGCAATGAACTCTGCGTGCCTGTCCAGGTGTCAACGGGATGTGAGGCATTCCGTCATAATGAAGCAGGGACCTAGGGCTTTCTCTAAGATCTCCACAGGGGATTCAGACATCCCTTCATGTTGTGAGATGAAAGACGAGCCTGTATTCAAGCCACTGCAAGGAAATCCGGCCTCCTTTCAAGTTAGGGCTTCTCGCTCTATATTCCCCTTGAGGCAGCAAACTCGGGGTCCCTCCCACATACCTATTGCTGAGAGAAGCCTCCTGTTGAGGTGCTTCTGGAAATTGGCATAGGTCTTGAGCCTAAGGCAGGGAATCAGCTCTCATCTCGAGACGATTTGGGGTACACGAAGCATTCCTCGGTTTGCTGTGCTGAAGTTGGTGTTCCTCTAGACTTGGGACAGTGTTCTCGGGGCATCTCTTGAGTTGCCTGAAGGAAGTCGAGCCACCGGTCGTGTTGAATGGGGAACGGGGAATGGCTCTGGAGTCAATGCAGGGGAATCGGGCCTCATCTCGAGTTGGTTTGGGGCACATGGAGCTGCTTTGCTTTGCGGGGTGACCTCAGGGTCCGTCTAGACTGGTGACAGTGTTCTTGGGGACTGTCTCGAGATCCATTAAGCATGTCGAAGCTCCTGACTTGTTTGAATGGGATCACGGAATAACTCTGCATGCACTGCAGGGGAATGGGGCCTCATATCGCCTCTAGGGGGATGTCTCATGGTTTTTCCCGAGTTTTGGCGGGGACCTGGGGTATGTTCTCGACTTACCGCGGGGATGGCCCTTCAAAACACGAGTTTCTTCAGTGACGTCAGGACTCCTGTCTAGTAACGAGGGACACCTCAGGAATCTCTTCGAGCCTTTGCAAGGCAAAAGGGACGCTTCTCGAGGTGAAGGAGGGCACCCAAGGACACTTTCCAGTAGCCACAGGGATTTTGGGATTCCTATCAGTATTCAAGAGGAGTCAGGCATCGTCACCTTTTGAAGCAGTGAACTCCGCGTGCCTCTCGAGGTGTCAACGGGATGTGAGGCACTCCGTCAAAATGAGGCAGGGACCTTGGGCTTTCTCTAAGGTCTCCACAGGGGATTCAGACCTCCCTTCATGTTGTTAGATGAAAGACGAGCCTGTATTCAAGCCACTGCAAGGAAACCCGGCCTGCTTTCAATTTAGGGCTTCTCACTGTATATTCCCCTTGAGGCAGCAAACTCGGTGTCCCTCCCACATACCTATTGCTGAGAGAAGCCACCTCTTGAGGTGCTTCTGGAAAGTTGGCATACGTCTTGAGCCTAAGCCAGGGAATCAGCTCTCATCTCGAGACGATTTGGGGTACACGGAGCATTCCTCGAGTCGCTGTGCTGAAGTTGTTGTTCCTCTAGACTTGGGACAGTGTTCTCGGGGCATCTCTGGAGTTGCCTGAAGGAAGTCGAGCCACCGGTCATGTTGAATGGGGAACGGGGAATGGCTCTGGAGTCAATGCAGGGGAATGGGGCCTCATCTCGAGTTGGTTTGGGGCACATGGAGCTGCTTTGCGTTGCGGGGTGACCTCAGGGTCCGTCTAGTCTGGTGATCTTGCGGACTGTCTCGAGATCCATTAAGCATGTCGAAGCTCCTGACTTGTTTGAATGGGATCACGGAATAGCTCTGCATGCACTGCAGGGGAATGGGGCCTCATCTCGCCTCTAGGGGGAAGTCTCATGGTTTTTCTCGAGTTGCGGCGGGGACCTGGGGTATGTTCTCGACTTACCGCGGGGATGGCCCTTCAAAACACGAGTTTCTTCAGTGACGTCAGGACTCCTGTCTAGTAACGAGGGACACCTCAGGAATCTCTTCGAGGCTTGGCAGGGCAAAAGGGACGCTTCTCGAGGTGAGGCAGGGCACCCAAGGACCCCTTCCAGTAGCCACAGGGATTTTTGGATTCCTATCAGTATTCAAGAGGAGTCAGGCATCGTCACCTTTTGAAACAATGAACTCCGGGTGCCTCTCGAGGTGTCAATGGGATGTGAGGCATTCCGTCAAAATGAGGCAGGGACCTAGGGCATTCTCTAATGTCTCCACAGGGGATTCAGACATCCCTTCATGTTTTGAGATCAAAGACGAGCCTGTATTCAAGCCACTGCCATTAAATCCGGCCTCCTTTCAAGTTAGGGCTTCTCGCTGTATATTCCACTCGAGGAAGCGATCTCGGGGTCCCTCTCACATAACTATTGCTGAGAGAAGCCTCCTCCTGAGGTGCTTCTGGAAAGTTGGCATACGTCTTGAGCCTAAACCAGGGAATCAGCTCTCATCTCGAGATGTTTTGGGGTACACAGAGCATTCCTCGAGTTGCTGTGCTGAAGTTGGTGTTCCTCTAGACTTGGGACAGTGTTCTTGGGGCATCTCTGGAGTTGCCTGAAGGAAGTCGAGCCACCGGTCGTGTTGAATGGGGAACGGGGAATGGCTCTGGAGTCAATGCAGGGGAATCGGGCCTCATCTCGAGTTGGTTTGGGGCACATGGAGCTGCTTTGCGTTGCGGGGTGACCTCAGGGTCCGTCTAGACTGGTGACCTTGCGGACTGTCTCGAGATCCATTAAGCATGTCGAAGCTCCTGACTTGTTTGAATGGGATCACGGAATAGCTCTGCATGCACTGCAGGGGAATGGGGCCTCATCTCGCCTCTAGGGGGAAGTCTCATGGTTTTTCTCCAGTTGCGGCGGGGACCTGGGGTATGTTCTCGACTTACCACGGGGATGGCCCTTCAAAACACGAGTTTCTTCAGTGACGTCAGGACTCCTGTCTAGCAACGAGGGACACCTCAGGAATCTCTTCGAGGCTTGGCAGGGCAAAAGGGACGCTTCTCGAGGTGAGGCAGGGCACCCAAGGACCCCTTCCAGTAGCAACAGGGATTTTGGGATTCCTATCAGTATTCAAGAGGCGTCAGGCATCGTCACCTTTTGAAACAATGAACTCCGGGTGCCTCTCGAGGTGTCAATGGGATGTGAGGCGTTCCGTCAAAATGAGGCAGGGACCTAGGGCATTCTCTAATGTCTCCACAGGGGATTCAGACATCCCTTCATGTTTTGAGATCAAAGACGAGCCTGTATTCAAGCCACTGCCATTAAATCCGGCCTCCTTTCAAGTTAGGGCTTCTCGCTGTATATTCCACTTGAGGAAGCGATCTCGGGGTCCCTCTCACATAACTATTGCTGAGAGAAGCCTCCTCCTGAGGTGCTTCTGGAAAGTTGGCATACGTCTTGAGCCTAAGCCAGGGAATCAGCTCTCATCTCGAGATGTTTTGGGGTACACGGAGCATTCCTCGAGTTGCTGTGCTGAAGTTGGTGTTCCTCTAGACTTGGGACAGTGTTCTCGGGGCATCTCTGGAGTTGCCTGAAGGAAGTCGAGCCACCGGTCATGTTGAATGGGGAACGGGGAATGGCTCTGGAGTCACTGCAGGCGAATCGGGCCTCATCTCGAGTTGATTTGGGGCACATGGAACTGCTTTGCGTTGCTGGAGTGACCTCAGGTTCCGTCTAGACTTGTGACAGTGTTCTAGGGGACTGTCTCGAGAACCATTAAGCAAGTCGAAGCTCCTGACTTGTTTGAATGGGATCACGGAATAGCTCTGCATGCACTGCAGGGGAATGGGGCCTCATCTCGCCTCTAGGCGGAAGTCTCATGGTTTTTCTTGAGTTGCGGCGGGGACCTGGGGTATGTTCTCGACTTACGGCGGGGATGGCCCTTCAAAACACGAGTTTCTTCAGTGACGTCAGGACTCCTGTCTAGTAACGAGGGATACCCCAGGAATCTCTTCCAGCCTTAGCAGGGCAAAAGGGACGCTTCTCGAGGTGAGGCACGGCACCCAAGGACCCTTTCCAGTAGCCACAGGGATTTTGGGATTCCTATCAGTATTCAAGAGGAGTCAGGCATTGTCACCTTTTGAAGCATTGAGCTCCGCGTGCCTCTCGAGGTGTCAACGGGATGTGAGGCACTCCGCCAAAATGAGGCAGGGACCTAGGGCTTTCTCTAAGGTCTCCACAGGGGATTCAGACACCCCTTCATGTTGTTAGATGAAAGACGAGCCTGTATTCAAGCCACTGCAAGGAAACCCGGCCTGCTTTCAATTTAGGGCTTCTCACTGTATATTCCCCTTGAGGCAGCAAACTCGGGGTCCCTCCCACATACCTATTGCTGAGAGAAGCCTCCTGTTGAGGTGCTTCTGGAAATTGGCATAGGTCTTGAGCCTAAGGCAGGGAATCAGCTCTCATCTCGAGACGATTTGGGGTACACGGAGCATTCCTCGAGTCGCTGTGCTGAAGTTGGTGTTCCTCTAGACTTGGGACAGTGTTCTCGGGGCATCTCTGGAGTTGCCTGAAGGAAGTCGAGCCACCGGTCTTGTTGAATGGGGAACGGGGAATGGCTCTGGAGTCAATGCAGGGGAATCGGGCCTCATCTCGAGTTGATTTGGGGCACATGGAGCTGCTTTGCGTTGCTGGGGTGACCTCAGGGTCCGTCTAGACTGGTGACAGTGTTCTTGGGGACTGTCTCGATATCCATTAAGCAAGTCGAAGCTCCTGACTTGTTTGAATGGGATCACGGAATAGCTCTGCATGCACTGCAGGGGAATGGGGCCTCATCTAGCCTCTAGGGGGAAGTCTCATGGTTTTTCTCGAGTTGCGGCGGGGACCTGGGTTATGTTCTCGACTTACGGCGGGGATGGCCCTTCAAAACACGAGTTTCTTCAGTGACGTCAGGACTCCTGTCTAGTAACGAGGGACAACTCAGGAATCTCTTCGTGGCTTGGCAGGGCAAAAGGGACGCTTCTCGAGGTGAGGCAGGGAACCCAAGGACCCTTTCCTGTAGCCACAGGGATTTTGGGATTGCTATCAGTATTCAAGAGGAGGCAGGCATCGTCACCTTTTGAAGCAATGAACTCCGCGTGCCTCTCGAGGTGTCAGCGGGATGTGAGGCATTCCGTCAAAATGAGGCAGGGACCTAGGGCTTTCTCTAAGGTCTCCACAGCGGATTCAGACATCCCTTCATGTTGTGAGATGAAAGACGAGCCTGTATTCAAGCCACTGCAAGGAAATCCGGCCTCCTTTCAAGTTAGGGCTTCTCGTTGTATATTCCCCTTGAGGCAGCAAATTCGGGGTCCCTCCCACATACCTATTGCTGAGAGAAGCCTCCTCCTGAGGTTCTTCTGGAAGTTGGCATACGTCTTGAGCCTAAGCCAAGGAATCAGCTCTCATCTCGAGACGATTTGGGTTGCACAGAGCATTCCTCGAGTTGCTGTGCTGAAGTTGGTGTTCCTCTAGACTTGGGACAGTGTTCTTGGGGCATCTCTGGAGTTGCCTGAAGGAAGTCGAGCCACCGGTCGTGTTGAATGGGGAACGGGGAATGGCTCTGGAGTCAATGCAGGGGAATCGGGCCTCATCTCGAGTTGATTTGGGGCACATGGAGCTGCTTTGCGCTGATGGGGTGACCTCAGGGTCCGTCTAGACTGGTGACAGTGTTCTTGGGGACTCTCTTGAGATCCATTAAGCAAGTCGAAGCTCCTGACTTGTTTGAATGGGATCAGGGAATAGCTCTGCATACACTGCAGGGGAATGGGGCCTCACCTCGCCTCTAGGTTGAAGTGTCATGGTTTTTCTCGAGTTGCGGCGGGGACCTGGGGTATGTTCTCGACTTAGAGCGGGGATGGCCCTTCAAAACACGAGTTTCTTCAGTGACGTCAGGACTCCTGCATAGTAACGAGGGACACCTCAGGAATCTCTTCGAGGCTTGGCAGGGCAAAAGGGACACTTCTCGAGGTTAGACAGGGCACCGAAGGACCATTTCCAGTAGCCAGAGGGATTTTGGAATTCCTATCAGTATTCAAGAGGAGTCAGGCATCTTTACCTTTTGAAGCAATGAACTCCGCGTGCCTCTCGAGGTGTCAACGGGATGTGAGGCATTCTGTCAAAATGAGGCAGGGACCCAGAATTTTCTCTGAGGTCTCCACAGGGGATTCTGACATCCCTTCATGTTGTTAGATGAAAGACGAGCCTGTATTCAAGCCACTGCAAGGAAACCCGGCCTGCTTTCAATTTAGGGCTTCTCGCTGTATATTCCCCTTGAGGCAGCAAACTCGGGGTCCCTCCCACATACCTATTGCTGAGAGAATCCTCCTCTTGAGGTGCTTCTGGAAACTTTGCAGACGTCTTGAGCCTAAGCCAGGGAATCAGCTCTCATCTCGAGACGATTTGGGGTACTAGGAGCATTCCTCGAGTTGCTGTGCTGCAGTTGGTGTTCCTCTAGACTTGGGACAGTGTTTTCAGGGCATCTCTGGAGTTACCTGAACGAAGTCGAGCCACCGGTCGTGTTGAATGGGGAAAGGGGAAAGGCTCTGGAGTCAAGGCAGGGGAATCGGGCCTCATCTCGAGTTGATCTGGGGCACATGGAGCTGCTTTGCGTTGCTGGCGTGACCTCAGGGTCCGTTTAGACTGGTGACAGTGTTCTTGGGGACTGTCTCGAGATCCATTAAGCAAGTCGAAGCTCCTGACTTGTTTGAATGGGAACTCGGAATAGCTCTGCATGCACTGCAGGGGAATGGGGCCTCATCTCGCCTCTAGGGGGAAGTCTCATGGTTTTTCTCGAGTTGCGGCGGGGACCTGCGGTATGTTCTCGACTTACGGCTGGGATGGCCCTTCAAAACTCGTGTTTATTCAGTGACGTCAGGACTCCTGTCTAGTAACGAGGGACACCTCAGGAATCTCTTCTAGGCTTGGCAGGGCAAAAGGGACGCTTCTCGAGGTGAGGCAGGGCACCCAAGGACCCTTTCCAGTAGCCACAGGGATTTTGGGATTCCTATCAGTATTCAAGAGGAGGCAGGCATCGTCACCTTTTGAAGCAATGAACTCCGCGTGCCTCTCGAGGTGTCAGCGGGATGTGAGGCATTCCGTCTAAATGAGGCAGGGACCTAGGGCTTTCTCTAAGGTCTCCACAGCGGATTCAGACATCCCTTCATGTTGTGAGATGAAAGACGAGCCTGAATTCAAGCCACTGCAAGGAAACCCGGCCTGCTTTCAATTTAGGGCTTCTCGCGGTATATTCCCCTTGAGGCAGCAAACTCGGGGTCCCTCCCACATACCTATTGCTGAGAGAAGCCTCCTCCTGAGGTGCTTCTGGAAAGTTGGCATACGTCTTGAGCCTAAGCCAGGGAATCAGCTCTCATCTCGAGACGATTTGAGGTACACGGAGCATTCCTCGAGTGGCTGTGCTGAAGTTGGTGTTCCTCTAGACTTGGGACAGTGTTCTCGGGGCATCTCTGGAGTGGCCTGAAGGAAGTCGAGCCACCGGTCGTGTTTAATGGGGAACGGGGAATGGCTCTGGAGTTAATGCAGGGGAATCGGGCCTCATCTCGAGTTGATTTGGGGCACATGGTGCTGCTTTGCGTTGCTGGGGTGACCTCAGGGTCCGTCTAGACTGGTGACAGTGTTCTTGGGGACTGTCTCGAGATCCATTAAGCAAGTCGAAGCTCCTGACTTGTTTGAATGGGATCACGGAATAGCTCTGCATGCACTGCATGGGAATGGGGCCTCATCTCGCCTCTAGGGGGAAGTCTCATGGTTTTTCTCGAGTTGCGGTGGGGACCTGCGGTATGTTCTCGACTTACGGCGGGGATGGCCCTTCAAAACTCGTGTTTATTCAGTGATGTCAGGACTCCTGTCTAGTAACGAGGGACACCTCAGGAATCTCTTCGAGGCTTGGCAGGGCAAAAGGGACGCTTCTCGAGGTGAGGCAGGGCACCCAAGGACCCTTTCCAGTAGCCACAGGGATTTTGGGATTCCTATCAGTATTCAAGAAGAGTCAGGCACCGTCACCTTTTGAAGCAATGAACCCCGCGTGCCTTCTCGAGGTGTCAGCGGGATGTGAGGCATTCCGTCAAAATGAGGCAGGGACCTAGGGCATTCTCTAAGGTCTCCACAGGGGATTCAGACATCACTTCATGTTGTGAGATGAAAGACGAGCCTGTATTCAAGCCACTGCAAGGAAATCCGGCCTCCTTTCAAGTTAGGGCTTCTCGCTGTATATTCCCCTTGAGGCAGCAAACTCGGGGTCCCTCCCACATACCTATTGCTGAGAGAATCCACCTCTTGAGGTGCTTCTGGAAAGTTGGCATAAGTCTTGAGCCTAAGCCAGGGAATCAGCTCTCATCTCGAGACGTTTTGGGATACACGGAGCATTCCTCGAGTTGCTGTGCTGAAGGTGGTGTTCCTCTAGACTTGCGACAGTGTTCTCGGGGCATCTCTGGAGTTGCCTGAAAGAAATCGAGCCACCGGTCATGTTGAATGGGGAACGGGGAATGGCTCTGGTGTCAATGCAGGCGAATCGGGCCTCATCTCGAATTGATTTGGGGCACATGGAGCTGCTTTGCGTTGCTGGAGTGACCTCAGGGTCCGTCTAGACTGGTGACCTTGCGGGCTGTCTCGAGATCCATTAAGCAAGTCGAAGCTCCTGACTTGTTTGAATGGGATCACGGAATAGCTCTGCAAGCACTGCAGGGGAATGGGGCCTCATCTCGCCTCAAGGGGGAAGTCTCATGGTTTTTCTCGAGTTTTGGCGGAGACCTGGGTTATGTTCTCGACTTACGGCGGGGATGGCCCTTCAAAACACGAGTTTCTTCAGTGACTTCAGGACTCCTGTCTAGTAACGAGGGACACCCCAGGAATCTCTTCCAGCCTTAGCAGGGCAAAAGGGACGCTTCTCGAGGTGAGGCAGGGCACCCAAGGACCCTTTCCAGTAGCCACAGGGATTTTGGGATTCCTATCAGTATTCAAGAGGATTCATTCATCGTCACCTTTTGAAGCAATGAACTCTGCGTGCCTGTCCAGGTGTCAACGGGATGTGAGGCATTCCGTCATAATGAAGCAGGGACCTAGGGCTTTCTCTAAGGTCTCCACAGGGGATTCAGACACCCCTTCATGTTGTGAGATGAAAGACGAGCCTGTATTCAAGCCACTGCAAGGAAATCCGGCCTCCTTTCAAGTTAGGGCTTCTCGCTCTATATTCCCCTTGAGGCAGCAAACTCGGGGTCCCTCCCACATACCTATTGCTGAGAGAAGCCTCCTGTTGAGGTGCTTCTGGAAATTGGCATAGGTCTTGAGCCTAAGGCTGGGAATCAGCTCTCATCTCGAGACGATTTGGGGTACACGAAGCATTCCTCGGTTTGCTGTGCTGAAGTTGGTGTTCCTCTAGACTTGGGACAGTGTTCTCGGGGCATCTCTTGAGTTGCCTGAAGGAAGTCGAGCCACCGGTCGTGTTGAATGGGGAACGGAGAATGGCTCTGGAGTCAATGCAGGGGAATGGGGCCTCATCTCGAGTTGGTTTGGGGCACATGGAGCTGCTTTGCGTTGCGGGGTGACCTGAGGGTCCGTCTAGACTGGTGACCTTGCGGACTGTCTCGAGATCCATTAAGCATGTCGAAGCTCCTGACTTGTTTGAATGGGATCACGGAATAGCTCTGCATGCACTGCAGGGGAATGGGGCCTCATCTCGCCTCTAGCGGGATGTCTCATGGTTTTTCTCGAGTTTTGGCGGGGACCTGGGGTATGTTCTCGACTTACCGCGGGGATGGCCCTTCAAAACACGAGTTTCTTCAGTGACGTCAGGACTCCTGTCTAGTAACGAGGGACACCTCAAGAATCTCTTCGAGGCTTTGCAAGGCAAAAGGGACGCTTCTCGAGGTGAAGCAGGGCACCCAAGGACACTTTCCAGTAGCCACAGGGATTTTGGGATTCCTATCAGTATTCAAGAGGAGTCAGGCATCGTCACCTTTTGAAGCAGTGAACTCCGCGTGCCTCTCGAGGTGTCAACGTGATGTGAGGCATTCTGTGAAAATGAGGCAGGGACCTAGAATTTTCTCTGATGTCTCCACAGGGGATTCAGACATCCCTTCATGTTGTGAGATGAAAGACGAGCCTGTATTCAAGCCACTGCAAGGAAACACGGCCTGCTTTCAATTTAGGGCTTCTCGCTGTATATTCCCCTTGAGGCAGCAAACTCGGGGTCCCTCCCACATACATATTGCTGAGAGAATCCTCCTCTTGAGGTGCTTCTGGAAACTTGGCAGACGTCTTGAGACTAAGCCAGGGAATCAGCTCTCATCTCGAGACGATTTGGGGTACACGGAGCATTCCTCGAGTTGCTGTGCTGAAGTTGGTGTTCCTCTAGACTTGGGACAGTGTTCTCGGGGCATCTCTGGAGTTGCCTGAAGGAAGTCGAGCCACCGGTCGTGTTGAATGGGGAACGGGGAATGGCTCTGGAGTCAATGCAGGGGAATCGGGCCTCATCTCGAGTTGGTTTGGGGCACATGGAGCTGCTTTGCGTTGCGGGGTGACCTCAGGGTCCGTCTAGACTGGTGACCTTGCGACTGTCTAGAGATCCATTAAGCATCTCGAAGCTCCTGACTTGTTTGAATGGGATCACGGAATAGCTCTGCATGCACTGCAGGGGAATGGGGCCTCATCTAGCCTCTAGGGGGAAGTCTCATGGTTTTTCTCGAGTTTTGGCGGGGACCTGGGGTATGTTCTCGACATACCGCGGGGATGGCCGTTCAAAACACGAGTTTCTTCAGTGACGTCAGGACTCCTGTCTAGTAACGAGGGACACCTCAGGAATCTCCTCGAGGCTTTGCAAGGCAAAAGGGACGCTTCTCGAGGTGAAGCAGGGCACCCAAGGACCCTTTCCAGTAGCCACAGGGATTTTGGGATTCCTATCACTATTCAAGAGGAGTCAGGCATTGTCACCTTTTGAAGCAGTGAGCACCGCGTGCCTCTCGAGGTGTCAACGGGATGTGAGGCACTCCGTCAAAATGAGGTAGGGACCTAGGGCTTTCTCTAAGGTCTCCAAAGTGGATTCAGACATCCCTTCATGTTGTTAGATGAAAGACGAGCCTGTATTCAAGCCACTGCAAGGAAACCCAGCCTTCTTTCAATTTAGGGCTTCTCACTGTATATCACCTTGAGGCAGCAAACTCGGTGTCCCTCCCACATACCTATTGCTGAGAGAATCCTCCTCTTGAGGTGCTTCTGGAAAGTTGGCATACGTCTTGAGCCTAAGCCAGGGAATCAGCTCTCATCTCGAGACGATTTGGGGTACACGGAGCATTCCTCGAGTAGCTGTGCTGAAGTTGGTGTTCCTCTAGACTTGGGACAGTGTTCTCGGGGCATCTCTCGAGTTGCCTGAAGGAAGTCGAGCCACCGGTCGTGTTGAATGGGGAACGGGGAATGGCTCTGGAGTCAATGCAGGGGAATGGGGCCTCATCTCGAGTTGGTTTGGGGCACATGGAGCTGGTTTGCGTTGCTGGGGTGACCTCAGGGTCCGTCTAGACTGGTGACAGTGTTCTTGGGGACTGTCTCGAGATCCATTAAGCAAGTCGAAGCTCCTGACTTGTTTGAATGGGATCACGGAATAGCTCTGCATGCACTGCATGGGAATGGGGCCTCACCTCGCCTCTAGGGGGAAGTCTCATGGTTTTTCTCGAGTTGCGGTGGGGACCTGCGGTATGTTCTCGACTTACGGCGGGGATGGCCCTTCAAAACTCGTGTTTATTCAGTGACGTCAGGACTCCTGTCTAGTAACGAGGGACACCTCAGGAATCTCTTCGAGTCTTGGCAGGGCAAAAGGGACGCTTCTCGAGGTGAGGCAGCGCACCCAAGGACCCTTTCCAGTAGCCACAGGGATTTTGGGATTCCTATCAGTATTCAAGAAGAGTCAGGCACCGTCACCTTTTGAAGCAATGAACTCCGTGTGCCTCTCGATGTGTCAGCGGAATGTGAGGCATTCCGTCAAAATGAGGCAGGGACCTAAGGCTTTCTCTATGGTCTCCACAGGGGATTCAGACATCCCTTCATGTTGTGAGATGAAAGACGAGCCTGTATTCAAGACACTGCAAGAAATCCGGCCTCCTTTCAAGTTAGGGCTTCTCGCTGTATATTCCCCTTGAGGCAGCAAACTCGGGGTCCCTCCACATACCTATTGCTGAGAGAAGCCACCTCTTGAGGTGCTTCTGGAAAGTTGGCATAGGTCTTGAGCCTAAGCCAGGGAATCAGCTCTCATCTCGAGACGATTTGGGGTACACGGAGCATTCCTCGAATCGCTGTGCTGAAGTTGTTGTTCCTCTAGACTTGGGACAGTGTTCTCGGGGCATCTCTGGAGTTGCCTGAAGGAAGTCGAGCCACCGGTCGTGTTGAATGGGGAACGGGGAATGGCTCTGGAGTCAATGCAAGGGAATGCGGCCTCATCTAGAGTTGGTTTGGGGCACATGGAGCTGCTTTGCGTTGCGGGGTGACCTGAGGGTCCGTCTAGACTGGTGACCTTGCGGACTGTCTCGAGATCCATTAAGCATGTCGAAGCTCCTGACTTGTTTGAATGGGATCACGGAATAGCTCTGCATGCACTGCAGGGGAATGGGGCCTCATCTCGCCTCTAGGGGGAAGTCTCATGGTTTTTCTCGAGTTGCGGCGGGGACCTGGGGTATGTTCTCGACTTACCGCGGGGATGGCCCTTCAAAACACGAGTTTCTTCAGTGACGTCAGGACTCCTGTCTAGTAACGAGGGACAACTCAGGAATCTCTTCGAGGCTTGGCAGGGCAAAAGGGACGCTTCTCTAAGTGAGGCAGGGCACCCAAGGACCCCTTCCAGTAGCCACAGGGATTTTGGGATTCCTATCAGTATTCAAGAGGAGTCAGGCACCGTCACCTTTTGAAACAATGAACTCCGTGTGCCTCTCGAGGTGTCAATGGGATGTGAGGCATTCCGTCAAAATGATGCAGGGACCTAGGGCATTCTCTAATGTCTCCACAGGGGATTCAGACATCCCTTCATGTTTTGAGATCAAAGACGAGCCTGTATTCAAGCCACTGCCATTAAATCTGGCCTCCTTTCAAGTTAGGGCTTCTCGCTGTATATTCCACTTGAGGAAGCGATCTCGGGGTCCCTCTCACATAACTATTGCTGAGAGAAGCCTCCTCCTGAGGTGCTTCTGGAAAGTTGGCATACGTCTTGAGCCTAAGCCAGGGAATCAGCTCTCATCTCGAGACGTTTTGGGGTACACGGAGCATTCCTCGAGTTGCTGTGCTGAAGTTGGTGTTCCTCTAGACTTGGGACAGTGTTCTCGGGGCATCTCTGGAGTTGCCTGAAGGAAGTCGAGCCACCGGTCTTGTTGAATGGGGAACGGGGAATGGCTCTGGAGTCAATGCAGGGGAATCGGGCCTCATCTCGAGTTCATTTGGGGCACATGGAGCTGCTTTGCGTTGCTGGGGTGACCTCAGGGTCCGTCTAGACTGGTGACCTTGCGGACTGTCTCGAGATCCATTAAGCAAGTCGAAGCTCCTGACTTGTTTGAATGGGATCATGGAATAGCTCTGCATGCACTGCAGGGGAATGGGGCCTCATCTCGCCTCTAGGGGGAAGTCTCATGGTTTTTCTCGAATTTTGGCGGGGACCTGGGTTATGTTCTCGACTTACCGCGGGGATGGCCCTTCAAAACACGAGTTTCTTCAGTGACGTCAGCACTCCTGTCTAGTAACGAGGGACACCTCAGGAATCTCTTCGAGGCTTGGCAGGGCAAAAGGGACGCTTCTCGAGGTGAAGCAGGGCACCCAAGGACCCTTTCCAGTAGCCACAGGGATTTTGGGATTCCTATCAGTATTCAAGAGGAGTCAGGCATCGTCACCTTTTGAAGCAGTGAACTCCGCGTGCCTCTCGAGGTGTCAACGGGATGTGAGGCATTCCGTCAAAATGAGGCAGGGACCTAGGGCTTTCTCTAAGGTCTCCACAGCGGATTCAGACATCCCTTCATGTTGTTAGATGAAAGACGAGCCTGAATTCAAGCCACTGCAAGGAAACCCGGCCTGCTTTCAATTTAGGGCTTCTCGCGGTATATTCCCCTTGCGGCAGCAAACTCGGGGTCCCTCCCACATATCTATTGCTGAGAGAAGCCTCCTCCTGAGGTGCTTCTGGAAAGTTGGCATACGTCTTGAGCCTAAGCCAGGGAATCAGCTCTCATCTCGAGACGATTTGAGGTACACGGAGCATTCCTCGAGTGGCTGTGCTGAAGTTGGTGTTCCTCTAGACTTGGGACAGTGTTCTCGGGGCATCTCTGGAGTGGCCTGAAGGAAGTCGAGCCACCGGTCGTGTTTAATGGGGAACGGGGAATGGCTCTGGAGTTAATGCAGGGGAATCGGGCCTCATCTCGAGTTGATTTGGGGCACATGGTGCTGCTTTGCGTTGCTGGGGTGACCTCAGGGTCCGTCTAGACTGGTGACAGTGTTCTTGGGGACTGTCTCGAGATCCATTAAGCAAGTCGAAGCTCCTGACTTGTTTGAATGGGATCACGGAATAGCTCTGCATGCACTGCATGGGAATGGGGCCTCACCTCGCCTCTAGGGGGAAGTCTCATGGTTTTTCTCGAGTTGCGGTGGGGACCTGCGGTATGTTCTCGACTTACGGCGGGGATGGCCCTTCAAAACTCGTGTTTATTCAGTGATGTCAGGACTCCTGTCTAGTAACGAGGGACACCTCAGGAATCTCTTCGAGGCTTGGCAGGGCAAAAGGGACGCTTCTCGAGGTGAGGCAGGGCACCCAAGGACCCTTTCCAGTAGCCACAGGGATTTTGGGATTCCTATCAGTATTCAAGAAGAGTCAGGCACCGTCACCTTTTGAAGCAATGAACTCCGCGTGCCTCTCGAGGTGTCAGCGGGATGTGAGGCATTCCGTCAAAATGAGGCAGGGACCTAGGGCATTCTCTAAGGTCTCCACAGGGAATTCAGACATCCCTTCATGTTGTGAGATGAAAGACGAGCCTGTATTCAAGCCACTGCAAGGAAATCCGGCCTCCTTTCAAGTTAGGGCTTCTCGCTGTATATTCCCCTTGAGGCAGCAAACTCGGGGTCCCTCCCACATACCTATTGCTGAGAGAATCCACCTCTTGAGGTGCTTCTGGAAAGTTGGCATAAGTCTTGAGCCTAAGCCAGGGAATCAGCTCTCATCTCGAGACGTTTTGGGATACACGGAGCATTCCTCGAGTTGCTGTGCTGAAGTTGGTGTTCCTCTAGACTTGGGACAGTGTTCTCGGGGCATCTCTGGAGTTGCCTGAAAGAAATCGAGCCACCGGTCATGTTGAATGGGGAACGGGGAATGGCTCTGGAGTCAATGCAGGCGAATCGGGCCTCATCTCGAATTGATTTGGGGCACATGGAGCTGCTTTTCGTTGCTGGAGTGACCTCAGGGTCCGTCTAGACTGGTGACCTTGCGGACTGTCTCGAGATCCATTAAGCAAGTCGAAGCTCCTGACTTGTTTGAATGGGATCACGGACTAGCTCTGCATGCACTGCAGGGGAATGGGGCCTCATCTCGCCTCTAAGGGGAAGTCTCATGGTTTTTCTAGAGTTTTGGCGGGGACCTGGGTTATGTTCTCGACTTACGGCGGGGATGGCCCTTCAAAACACGAGTTTCTTCAGTGACGTCAGGACTCCTGTCTAGTAACGAGGGACAACTCAGGAATCTCTTCGAGGCTTGGCAGGGCAAAAGGGACGCTTCTCGAGGTGAGGCAGGGCACCCAAGGACCCTTTCCAGTAGCCAGAGGGATTTTGGGATTCCTATCAGTATTCAAGAGGAGTCAGGCACCGTCACCTTTTGAAGCAATGAACTCCGCGTGCCTCTCAACGTGTCAGCGGGATGTGAGGCATTCCGTCAAAATGAGGCAGGGACCTAGGGCTTTCTCTAAGGTCTCCACAGGGGATTCAGACACCCCTTCATGTTGTGAGATGAAAGACGAGCCTGTATTCAAGCCACTGCAAGGAAATCCGGCCTCCTTTCAAGTTAGGGCTTCTCGCTGTATATTCCCCTTGAGGCAGCAAAGTCGGGGTCCCTCCCACATAGCTATTGCTGAGAGAAGCCACCTCTTGAGGTGCTTCTGGAAAGTTCGCATACGTCTTGAGCCTAAGCCAGGGAATCAGCTCTCATCTCGAGACAATTTGGGGTACACAGAGCATTCCTCGAGTTATTGTGCTGAAGTTGGTGTTCCTCTAGACTTGGGACAGTGTTCTCGGGGCATCTCTGGAGTTGCCTGAAGAAAGTCGAGCCACCGGTCATGTTGAATGGGGAACGGGGAATGGCTCTGGAGTCAATGCAGGCGAATCGGGCCTCATCTCGAGTTGATTTGGGGCACATGGAGCTGCTTTGCGTTGCTGGAGTGACCTCAGGGTCCGTCTAGACTTGTGACAGTGTTCTAGGGGACTGTCTCGAGAACCATTAAGCAAGTCGAAGCTCCTGACTTGTTTGAATGGCATCACGGAATAGCTCTGCATGCACTGCAGGGGAATGGGGCCTCATCTCGCCTCTAGGCGGAAGTCTCATGGTTTTTCTTGAGTTGCGGCGGGGACCTGGGGTATGTTCTCGACTTACGGCGGGGATGGCCCTTCAAAACACGAGTTTCTTCAGTGACGTCAGGACTCCTGTCTAGTAACGAGGGACACCCCAGGAATCTCTTCCAGCCTTAGCAGGGCAAAAGGGACGCTTCTCGAGGTGAGGCAGGGCACCCAAGGACCCTTTCCAGTAGCCACAGGGATTTTGGGATTCCTATCAGTATTCAAGAGGATCATTCATCGTCACCTTTTGAAGCAATGAACTCTGCGTGCCTGTCCAGGTGTCAACGGGATGTGAGGCATTCCGTCATAATGAAGCAGGGACCTAGGGCTTTCTCTAAGGTCTCCACAGGGGATTCAGACATCCCTTCATGTTGTGAGATGAAAGACGAGCCTGTATTCAAGCCACTGCAAGGAAATCCGGCCTCCTTTCAAGTTAGGGCTTCTCGCTCTATATTCCCCTTGAGGTAGCAAACTCGGGGTCCCTCCCACATACCTATTGCTGAGAGAAGCCTCCTGTTGAGGTGCTTCTGGAAATTGGCATATGTCTTGAGCCTAAGGCAGGGAATCAGCTCTCATCTCGAGACGATTTGGGGTACACGCAGCATTCCTCGGGTTGCTGTGCTGAAGTTGGTGTTCCTCTAGACTTGGGACAGTGTTCTCGGG